CATGACGGAGGCGCCGGCAGCGACGGAGGCGCCCGCCAACGGTTTCCCAATCAGGGATAGGCGGTGCACGTAATAGAAGCACCCGCCTCCGTCGACGGCACGGTTCCTTCAAGATGTATTAAACTCAACGTATTAATTGTCCTTCAAGATCGATTTGTAAGCAATACGTCCGCGGATTAGGTGCCATGATGACGCTGACGGGGAGGGCCCAGGCGTTGTTCGCAACGGCCCAGCGGCGGAAGTCCTCGTTGGTGACGGCGGCGCCGATGCAGCAGAGGCGCTTGGTCGACGAAGTTTGCTCCTTGAGCTCGATGGTTTTGAGTTCCGGGACGTTGGTTCCAGTGTAATCGCCGGGGAGGAGGCTCATGGGGTCGGGCAGGGTGGTGACTTCAGTGAGGTCGACAAAGGAAATAAGGATTTCAGAGGACTGTGAGAAGATCGGGGACCAGCTGTGGCGGAAGCCGCTACAGCGGACGCGTAGGTTGTGGGCGGATGCGTAGCGAACGAGGTTCTGGATGCCGAGGACGGTGGTGGGGACAAAGGTGTAGATCGGTGTATTCTTGACCGTTTCACCCCAGTTGACAAACTCATCGTTGGAGTGAACCTTTCAATCGTCCAAATCAAGTCAAAATATGATTCGACGAAGAGAAACAAAAGATATAGCTCACCTCCATAACCCTCGTTTGTGCCTGATCCTCATAAATATTCGGCAACTCCACCACAATCGATTCGTGGCCCTTCCCGACCACGCCATGCTTATTCGATGCTGGTAACACAAAGGTCTTCCCGCCTAACACATCCGTAGCTGACCTCCCATCAATAAACGCACCAATCTGCTCCTTCAAGTCCGGCCGCCCAATCTTTTCAAGACTCTCCTTGAACCCAGCCGTATACTGCAGCATGCGCAAGAAGCCGCGGATCTGAACTTCGGTGTCGAGCTCATTGCGTAGGAGGGGTGCGAGTACTTCCTCCTTGAGGGGCTTGGTGTCGATGTCTTTGAGGCGCGGTTCGCGCTTTTGAAGCACGTCGATGTGGGTGAGGATCTCCTGCAGAATATGGTCTCGCTGCAAGATGGGCGGGGGAGCATGTTCGCCAGATGATGATCTAATGCCGGGAACCTCCATCGGGGTGCAAGCAAAGCAAAGTACAAGGGGGGACTCAGAGGTATCTTGTGAGTCCAAAGGGAATGAATTTAATGGGGACCAAGGCTGACTGAGCGACTCGGAATACACTCACGACGAAGGCTGCGCGAGAGCGGATGAAACCTGTGTGGAAACGGTGGATAGAACGGCGAAGGACCCTAGCGCGGGCAGTCGAAAGCAATTTATCACCTTCCAAAATTATGGTTGTCCTCCTACCCGCCGCAAAATCCCGATCATCTATCCAACCTCTTTTGTTCATCTCTCGCTCTGCTCTCAACGTTGGTGCCGAAAGACAAATCAGATCATCTTCTAACCTTTTTTGTTCATCTCTCTTGTTTTGCAGTATAAAATCCAGTGTCTGTCCGAAGCCCAGTATATCCCCATCTGGTTATCACGCGCAGTCTAGCGCAGCTCTGAAACCATATCCCCATATAAGTGTAGGTCATAGGTTCATATATTTTATCGTAAGCGGGGATGGCTCTGGTGTCATGTCTGGAACCAAACCCAGGGCTTAGGCCGCACTGGCAACCCCATTTCAAGTTGGTCTGATGGCATGTGATGGTTTGACAAATGTGAATGAAGATAATATTATCCCCTCCCCCCTATTGTCCCTACTCTGCTGTACCACATTGGTGCTACATATATACTTACTACTGTTTGACAAATTTAGGGAGGGCGCCAATTTTTTTCCTCCCAAAATGGGACATGTTTTTGAATCTTGATACCACGGCAGCCCTATCTCAGCCAATTCTGCTCTGATTGTCGCAGGAATAGACGCGTTAGAATTATACAATTAAATGTTCCCGCAGATACAGGCATGAAGAAGATATTTTATTTTGTAGTATATTGTTGGTAGAACATGGGAAAACGTTGGGTTTAATTGCAAACTGTTTGAAAGGGGGCATGTTCGGATTTGGAGAGGTTTCTGCAAGTAAATCCGTGTACACAATACTTGACCTGCTTGCAGACCGATGGTAGATGGAAATACATTAAAAAATGAGGTAAACTGGACTTGGCCATTATTGAGGGGATTGCCTTTGGACTGCCTTGTACAATTCAAAGTTCCGTCTGAAACCATATCCCCACTTGTGTGGGTCATGGGTTCATCCCCTTCAAGCCAGCTCTGTCTTTCGGCTACAGTGCAAATCACACTTTACTGCCGTTTGCTCAATATTTCATGAAAACACGAAAAAGTTTCGCGCTATCACGTGATCGTCGACAGACAATGCCGAAATTCGAAAATGTTCAAATCTCTCATATTTACAAGGGTTTGACGTCGAAAATGTTTCTACAAAATTTTAACACTACATACCCGGTCAAAATCTCTTTCCCAGTACCCAACTTGGCGCACGTGCTGTCTGCGGCCGATCACGTGAGTCCGAGAAACTTTTTTTTGCGATTTTTTAGGCAAACGGCAGTAAACTACAATCACACTTTAAACGTCGCAGGACATGTCCAGACTTGGGCTTTAGTTTGGCCCATCTATGATGGCTTGCGTCTGTCGACACTCAGGCTCTCATAGACCGGTCACCAATCTTGCCCAAACTTATGTACAGGTCGGGTGAGTCAACGCCGCCTTTCGTCTACTGTTGCATTTCGTTCAATTCATTTGGAGTACTTTTGGGGAACATCGCCAAATATTCTCTCGATTTATCGGATTTTCATTGTGATTTCTTGGTGAAAATTCCATATGAATTGAACGAAATGCCACAGAATTTTGCCTTCAATTCATTAGGTAGCGTTGTCTTGGGTTGATCTGGAAACTTGAACAGGTGGCTGGACGGCGAAAAAAAAAGACATGTCAAGAGAGCCTCATCCAATTATCAGTTTAACACACAGACCACATCTGGCAGTAAGCCTCTTAAGATCCACTCAATACACGTAGCCCACCTCCTTACCGAACCGCGCAACGGGTTGGCCTAGAGCTTGAGCGCTTTACCCGAATTTTGAACCGGGTGTAAGGCCCAAATCGGCCAAATCTTACCCGAATTCACATCTGGTTCCTTGGGGATTGTCCGGGGTCCTATGACTGGCCATGGTTAAGTTTACATACAGCTGATTTCAAAACAATATACGGGTTTTGATAGAGTGATGCTGTTCGTTTTGTGCTTACCTCTGTTTGGTCTCACGTCCCATTTTGTCCACTCGGCAGGCGCAGGCAGGCCTCAAGAGAAAGGAAGCCCCATGGCATGACATCGATGCCATTTTGAGGAATGCAGCCGAGTGGAGCGAGCCCCACAAAATCGGACGCGAGGCCAAGCATCAAAACCCGTATATTGTTTTGAAATCAGCTCTACAGTAAATCAAAACGAGAAACCTGTGCTACTTCCCCGGCATGATAATGCCGGCCTATGTCTCAAACTTGTTATGACGGCGTTCTTTCGGCAGAGTGTGGGCATCGGTGCCGCTTGCACCGGTTCAGGTTCAGGAAGCGCCGGATTTCTGGCGGACGGAAACACCATCGTTCAAGTTGCCTGTTGAAGTTTAGATGAGGGCAGTTCGTCTCGGCCGAATTTCGGATGCTCCTAAACATTTCGCCAGCATTCAAACAGTATTGCACTTGACACGATTCCCACGAACGACGAATATGTTCCGGTTTCCACGGAATTATTTAATAAACGGAGTGCCCATACTAGAGCATTATTGCACGGGCCTTGCACGGGCCTCCGGATTTATGTTCATCACCAGCAATTCGCCGTTCGGCGAAGTGACCGATGTGCAAGGGGAACTTGCCCGAGGTTTGCTCCGGGGGGATGGGTCGGCGATGCGAGTAGGATATAGACAAGCTAGGGGGTGCTGAGACTTAGCGGAGCCGTATAGGGTACAAAATCGGATGAAAAAAAGCGAGGCGATCGAGTGGCGTGATGCGAGTCCGATTGTCGAAAACGAGCGATATGACGAAAAACGAGGCCAGGGGGGTGCACGAGGACGAACGAGACTTGCATTGCACGAGGCACGATGGTGGGCGCACGATGGTACGACAAACAATGATGCTAAGCAAATTTCAAGCAATGAAAATCGGTTGACGGCACAAGCTATCTACTGTAGTGAAAAGTAACTATGTATGCCTACATAAATAACAACTGGTATCGGCAGCTACGTATCGTCCGTTGTGTGTAAAGGATCCGGATTACGGCACTATAACTAATGTACGTATTATGTGGCGCGCGGTTTCATACTGGTTTCATCGGAAGCAAAAGCAGGGGCTGTTGCAAAAATTACGAAAGAAAATCCTACCACACTGGCACCTGCCGGACCGATGCGGACTAATCATCATGGTACGTATCAACCGCGTTAAACATGGTTAAATGCGACACTGTTCATCCCATTCAAGTGTTAGATCAGTCCTGGGTGAGGCAGCTTTTTCTACCAGGTGGGCAAGTACTAGGTAGTAAAATTGCAGTTGGTCGGTCCCACTCAGGGACGAGCAGCGCGCACCGCCGTGCTCGACAACCTTACAGAGTAACGACTGTCGATGTCACGAACTTTCCTGGTGGAGGCATCAAAATTTTGCTTGATGCCGCGTTTTGGCTGGTAAGTAGTGACTTGGAGAAGCTCTGTTCGCTTGAGAGCGCCGGCAGCCCTACTTGTTCGTTGGCACGAAGACCTAACGACCTCCGTCCCAACTGTCACTTCCGCAATCAAGTCAGCTGTTGACTTTGGTACTCCTAGGTTTCCGAACAGTTCACGTGACCAATATATTCGCAGTCTAAGCTGTGAACGTAATTTCACTTTCCAGCCTTACCATGCACCAAGGATTCCGTGAGGGCTACAGACCTAATAATAATCAACGCGTTACCTACAAACCGGGACCTCAAAGTAAAAGTGAACAACAAAACATTTGTTTTGTCCAGCAAATGACCACCGCAGGGATCGAACCTGCAATCTCCTGATTAGATGATAAAGATTTTGGCGGACAATCGTAGTCAGACGCGATGCCATTTCGCCAGGCGGCCAGCGTAAAACCTGGCCCTCCAGAATATATTATCTCTGGAGGAGGAAGAGGATGTATAACCGTATTGTTCAAACACAGTCTTAGTAGGTCTCCGCTTGCTTATCACGCCGCTGTATTCGGCGATCAATTGTATCACAACGCTCCTTTTTTGGTATTCTTTCGCGGGGGAGACCAGTACCTCGGTTTATCGACGGCACTCCTTCGCTGTTGCGGCGTCTGTTGGAGCGACCACGGCGCCGCTCGTCGTATTTGTCCCGCCCGTCACCTTCCCAACCGCGGACATCGTTTTGACGAGCAACTTGAAAACGCTAGTGAACATCACATGGTGCACGGTCCCGCATCCGTTCCACCAGCCACGCTGACGAGGTGGGCGTTTCAGGGACGCGAGCGGCGCGCCAAACCGCATCTCCAACGAGGCACTGCTCTTGCTGCATAAAGGCACTGTCACCGCGCCGTGTAAGGACTTATAAAAACGCCTGCTGGCTGCTGGCTGATCTGGGCCCGGCGCAGTTATCATCGCAAAGGGCTTCTATCTACATGCGGGGTCTCTCGAGGTCACCGTCCCGTATGTGCTGACGGGCTCAGTGTGTGTAAGTAGTAGGCAGTCGTCTAAGTTGGTTGGCTAAGGAGTTGCTGATGTTTTGCGTTCCTGTTTGCAGTATGTATATGGCGACTCTGGGAACTTGAGTCCTATGTTCTCTATCAACAGCGATACACCCGCTTGATGGGGAGGACCAGGAGGTGGGATCGGCAAATCCATACGCAGAGTGTGCCACTGTTCAAGTAAATGAGAATATTGTTTAGGAAGAGTCAAGTGGTCGGCGAGGTGCGACTCTAAGAACGAGTCGGGTGTCGATTCTAGACGCAATTCTGATGTCGAGAATCGAGCAGAGTCGCTGTTGTGCTTTGCACAGAATTGTGATTTTGATTCTGATGCACTCGCCGAAGTTGTTCAATTAAATTGCAATCGTCACCAGAATCGTAGTCGAATCAGGTGGCCATGAGGTTGATTTGTGGATGATTCACGAATTCCGAATCGCTGTCGGGATCACCGTTCAGATTCGAGGCGACCTGACCGCTTTGACTTCTCCTATTCATAGCGGCAGGGTGCTCGTTAGGCTGAAATTTGAACACATAACTCACCTCCGGCGTTACCGTCTTGCTGGATCGTGTCTACAGATGGGTTCCCCGCCAGACGGATACCGTACTGAAGCACATGCGCGCGCGCAGGCGTCCGCAAATCACAGCCCGAGTCTTTCATGCCTGCCAAGACAAGTATCGCGCGAATGTCGTAGGTGGCGCATCGCTCCCAGTCGCGACAGTCCTCGACAGTCGCCGCGACCCACAAGTTGCGCAGGAAGAGTAATACGTCGTCGGGCGTGCGCTGAGTATGCGCCGAGCGCGGCGACGGCCGCGTGCTGTTGGCCACGTGCTGGTCTACGAGGTTGATGCTCTCGTACGTGTTGACTTGACAAGTTGCAGATGCTCTGCTTCAAATGACGTCTCAAGATCACGCACGTAAGATCACGTGAGCATTTCGGCTCCTACCAGCAACCTGCAGGATCTCGCTGCCAGCCTCGTTGGCGGCGTACAGAGAGTCGGCGGTCATCGTCAGACTGGCGGATATCGTTGGACTCCTGTAAGTCATGATACTGAAGACGAACGTGCATAATGATGCTCGACTTAAGCGCTGTCGTAACCATCTCATTCATACCCTTTATATGCGTGTATAGGATCCTCGACCTCGTCTTCCGCTCTACGAAGCCCATGCCAGACCACAAACCGTTGCCGGCGTTGCCCGCGGCAGCGACCGTCCCGAGTCTTACAACCCTTTCCGTCGACGCGCGAGATCACCGTGGCCGCTTTATACGCCACATTCTCGCGGAAGCTGCGTTTGACGACCCGGAGGACCTGTGGGCCTCTGCCCTGGAGGACGCACTCGACACCCTTGGCGACGCTGTCGGACGCGGCCGATGGCTGGCCGGTGTCAAGAGGAGTCGCCGTTCGCCACTGCAGTACCCACCAGCACCGCCCAGGAAGCCCATGTCGCGGATGGACACAGCGAGCACCGTCTCCTCGTCGCGGATGGACGCAACGAGCACCGTCTCCTCGTCGCACCACGATGTTTCCGAAGCCGAGAGTTTCACCTCCGACGAGGCGCTTCACCAGATCCGCACCGTCGCCGCCCAGCCGGCTGTCCCCAATCCCAAGCCAGAACCGAGACACCTGCTCCTCTGTGCGGCGCAGCTAGGGGGACGCATTGCCATTCCGAGTGAGGACAGCGGCTTCGATCTCATCCCTGCAAACGTGGGATGTGTCTTCAAGGCCGCTCTGTTCTCGCTCCCTGAGGAAGGCTCGGACGCACGCTCGTCGATTTTGTTCGGACTGGCGGAATGGGACAGTGCGTATCTCAAATTCCTGAGCTTCTCTTTCCGCTTAACCTTGTGCAGCTGAAGCGGTGCCTCGCCCGAAGCTTGTCGGCGGCACATTCATCTTCAAAGGCATCACATCCCCGCCTCAGTACCACTCGCTGTGCAAGGCCCTGCGAATATCAATATACATGCACCTGTCACTTCTCCTTGAACAGCATTTCCTATCAAACTCTGGCGTACAGCTCCATTTCCCGATGCCCAAGCCCCGTCACTCGGCAATGTCTGATACTTCTGCATCGTCCGCCTACTCGCAAGCTGAGTTAACCCCTCGGTCTCGACAACAAAAGACTTTTCTCCCTGGCATCCTTTCGTTCTTCTCCAAGAAGAACCCATCCATTCATCGGAGCAACACCATCACCTCTACCTCGAGTGCGCGCGCAGGCACCTCGCTCGACCTCACCAACACCCACTCGCGCGAGAGCTCTCTCGCCGGTCCCGCGCGCCTCTCAGAAGACGGCGGCAGTCGAAGCAACCGCTTCTCCTTCATCGGCGACCCGCGACCATCCTTCCTCAAGCCCGCGCCTCCCACGGACCCACAACCCTCAGACGGCACGCCTTTCACTGTAGTCCTCACGCGCCTCGCCACTGCCGCGCCCTTTCTGTCGTCCTCCGCTGGCGTGCATGTCGCGCCGCCGAAGCTCATTGTGGATCTCGCGGAGCGCGAACGCGCGGCGCCTGGTCGCCGGCTTACGGGCGACGAGAAGACGGCCCTGGAGAGCATCCGCGGGTGGGACCCGCGCGAGCGCGACCGCGCAGCGAGGACGCGCGCGCTATGCGGCGCGCGCGGGTTTGCGCGGATGCAGGAGCTGGGGGTGCTGCTGTCGCGCCATGTGCCCGCTCCTGCACCCGGAGACGCAAGCCTTTCGGGCGCATACGCATCCGTTTCAGCGTCGACATCTGTATCTGCGTCGGTGTCCACACTCGAGGCGGCAGAGCGCGCGTTCGCGCCGTGCGAGCGGCCGTATTGGACTACGTATCGGTACTATGCGCGCGACGGCGCGGCGGGAGAGGACTGGAGTCTCGGAGAGCTGGTGCGCGGACTGTGTGCAAGGGCGGAGGACGCGTGTGTACGGCCGGGGTGTCAATGGAAGCAGGGAGAGCATGTGCTGAGACTGGTGCACGGGAAGACCCGCGTCACGGTGGAGGTGAAGACGGTCGAGAAGAACAAGGAGACAGCGATGGTGGCTGGGAAGGAGGAGGCAAAGGGCGCGGAGAAACCGAATGAGACGGGAAAAGTCAATATTCATGAGAAAAGCAAGGATTCGGATAAAGCCAAGGACTCAGAAAAGACGGAGGCGGACGCCACAAGAAAGAGCAGAGAGAGCAAGAGCGAGCAGAAGCAAGATGTCGAGCCCGCGAGCATCCAGATGTGGATGAGCTGCGGCGTTTGCGGCAAGTGCACAAGCAAGACGGAGATGAACGACGGAGCATAGTACGTTATCCTACCTTGGCCTGATTTGGGACCATTTGCTGACCGCCCTGCAGCCTGTTCTCCTTCGGGAAGTTTCTGGAAGTGCTCAATTATTCACCCACGATATGCAAGATCACGCCCGCGCTGTGTGAACACACCTCCCCGCCGCTGGCGATCCGAATACCCGACCAGGCGCCCTCTGTGGCGAAGGATGACGTGCCGCTTCCGGCGTCGCGGCTGAATATCGTGCGTCACTTTGCCGCACAGGGGCACACCGTCTCGTTCGCACTGTCTACGGTCGAGGACATCTTCGAGTTGCGAGTGCCTCGGCTACAGATTACGCGCAGGATAGGGGAAAAGAGCGCACGCGCGTCGATAACGAAGGAGGAGGAGGCTCGGCCGCAGCCAGTGGATGAGGAGAAGCGGACGCTGAGAAGGGAGATCAAGGCTTGGTGGGAGGGCGTCGCGGACCATATGGATAAACTGGTGTGTCGGAAAGAAAGCCAGTCGTCCCACTTGCTGATTGGTCTCTGCAGGAGACGACCCTGGCTGGCACGCTCGTCGGGTTACGCAAGGCGCTCCCGCGTCTGCCGTCCACGGACGACGAATGGGAGGAGTCGATGAGTGAGGGCGGGGAGGATGCCGACGGCGACGGCAAGAGTACCACAGAGACGACGCCGACGCTGCTAAGGCCACAGTTCGTCGCGGATTTCACGCCAAGCGCGCCAGCGACCCCGCAAGGCGCGCTCGAGGCGCAGGGATACTTCTCCGCCGCACCCCCGCCGCTTCCTCGTGCGTCCTCGGACCCCACTGCCACCCCGGGGTCCGCAGCGCCGCCGTCTACGCCAGCGCCGACGGATAATTCAATGCAGCTTCTCGGCAGTTTGCGGCAGTCGTTCCACCGTACGGAGCAGGACCTGTACACTCAGCTCTCGCGCACGCCTGCGGCGGCTCTCAACGACGTGCGCCGTGCGTTTGTGAATGCCGCACGCGGCGCGGAGAGACGGCTGCTCGCGTGGCAGAAGAAGCATATTCCTGGGCGCGGGAAGCGCAGCGTTCAGATCAAGATGGAAGTGGAGGAGCCGCAGTGGTGGGGCAAGGGGTATCATACAGCGCCTGGCTGCAATATTATTATACGGGAGGATGACTGGGGTAGCA